CTAAAAATCCACAGCCCACCTCAGGTACATGTTTACGCTTCCTGCAGGCAGACATTCTTTCCTCTCACTTGCTATCTCCTATTGTAGCTGGCCCAATCTTGGGACAGTAATAGGTTTTTAATAAGTATTTAGATACACTGATTTCACTGAGTACCCTCAAAATTAGATTCCAAATACATATTATTTTAATCCTTCCTGATGGGCAATTCTTTAATGGAAAGGCATAGAGTATGAGATAATTAAAAGAATGCATGCCTGAGTTGTCCCTAACAGATATAGAATTCTTTATATTTTAATATTACATTGATGATAAGTACTAAAGACCACACAATAAGCAGATTCTGAATCCAAATCTTATAGGCCAGTCCTTAGAAAGTGGTGGTAGGGAGAAAAGTGATCCAGAACTTGGCACTGGGGAACTGACCAACCTAAACATCCCAGACTCATAGAGAGAATCAGGTGGTCCAGACAGCCACCAAATGTACATCGAGAATCCCTCCTGCTTTGTGAGTGTCTGAAGATGGCCGGTCAGCTGCAACACTATTCCTCTACCCCTTCACACGTGTAGCTAGGCACCAGTTACATAAAGAGCATTGGGCCTAGAGACAAAGTACGACACTGACCTTGATGTGGAAAGGGAAGAAGGAATGAAAAAATGAAGAAATGAATGAATGAGAAGAATTATAACTACAGGATGTTCCGAGATTTTTTCTTGGTTCCTGGAGCCACTAATTTTCAAGTTCAGTTGTCAGGCAATTCAAAAAAATAAGCTGAAATTGGAGTTATCAAAATTGGTCCCGGAAACACTGGCTGATGAGGTATACACACTGCAAACCTATGCTAGGAAAGTTGCAGAATTCAGTCTAAGGATTTTGGAATTAGCAGATTTTTTTATCACAGTAAAAATATCTTATTAAAGCAGAGAGGAATATAAATTATGAGACTAAGCCCTGGAATAAAGCATCAAATAGTGCAGCCACATAAATCATTCTTTTACATTTACATCTTCTTTGAACTCAGATTTAGCCTATGGCACCAGAAATATTCACAATGAATTGTGATGTGTTTCAGAGAAGTGCTTTTTCCTACTTAGATTTCCTTATACTGTTTATGGCTCTGCTACTCTTCTGTTATCCCTTTTACACACATGATACGGATACGTGTATATTAAAAATAAAGAAATGAGACTGATTTCAGAAACCATAAACGAAAGCAGTCTTATTGTTTTACACTTAACAGTAGTTTTATTTTGTAAGATATATGAGGCAAATCCAACTGAAATCATCACTGTATTAAAGTGAGATGTCTATTTTTTACAAGACTCTTTGGGAGCAATCAATGTTCACGTCCTGGTGTGCAAAGGAGTAAGTTAAAGGTGGACCAGGCTGCAACTTGGAAGATGAGCAATCTTAATCATGACTGCTTTTTGTATTAAAAGCAGCTTTTATAACTATATTGTTTATAATGGGTTTTAACATAGCAGAAAGGAGAATAATTATGATAGTTACTCCTTCTTCTTTCAAATAGAATCATTTGTGACTCTACAGTATAAATCTGTCCTTACACTCTTTTCACTATGCATTTCATTTTTAGGTATTTTTCCTAATAATTATTTAAAAATGTTTTAACTGAATTTTGCCATTCAATATCAACAGTGCTTAACATATCTCCTGATACATCTGATGTATGCAAGAATTATACATGCAGTCATATTTCTGCATTCACCTTCCAATGTGAACATTTTTACAAATGCATTCTCCTTACATTCCCTGACCTTATTTTCTTATAAATCCCCACCTTTCGTGGCCCATAGTGGTGTTGGTCTCAGTTAAGAGCTAACAATATAAGCAATTGCTATTGCTTTCAAGAGACAGAAGTGCCTTTCACATCAGCCATTTGTGTATCTACATTATATCCAGTATATAGGTCCCACAGAGGAAACAATCTACAAAAGAGATGTAAGGAGAGAAATCTAGCAACAGCTGCTTTGGTCCAGGTCAACTAAACCTGCAAAAGACCCTTTCTGGATTTTGGTGATAGTAATGAGTTCTTTGGGTTGCTGTCAATAGTTGGATGAGGTAGCAGAACAAAGGACAGCTACCATATATCCTTTAATCAATTTTGAAGTCAGCCACAGAAAAAACTAGGAGGCAATTTCAGCAATGTGAAGACTTCTCTAAAGAGAAACTGAATAATTATAATTTCTATAATCCTTTAAGAATCTAAATCTGGAAATTTGTTCTAAAGATCTGTGTAACATCTCATCTATAGAGATGAAATTCACCTTAAAAATACATCATTTGTGTTCTAATTTCTTCACTATTTATAGATGAGGAAAACCAAGGATGAATATGAACTGAGTGGATTATACAATGCAACTGCTGCTGATCAACTAGATTGGTATTTTTCTACTGATCCATGCCATCTAAAACCCACGAACATAAATAGTATATATATCACAGCAAAACCATGCTCAAAACCATGAATTTTTAGATGTTCATCAGGAATGTCAATGCATAAACAATTGGTAATAATGATATCACTGAATGTCGTGTCCATCTTTACAATGTAAAAAACAAATAAGCTGATTTAAGGACCTCTATTATAGATTTTAATGGTATTGCAGCCAAGATATGATGATAGAAAAGTTGGCCATCTTTGATGGTTCAGTTGAAGTTTTCTTCTAAAATACTTCCTCAAAACATTTAAGAAAATATTCCGGAATCCTTTTTTGTTCTCTTTCAGTTGAATATTTTCCCTTATTTTTGCAAACTAATCAATTACAATAAGAGCTCTAGAAAGAAGTATTTTTACTTCTAACATTAGCTGAGATCTTTCCTGATACTGAATGGAGAAACAAATTAGCTCCAGAGTTTCCTAGAACTTATTTCAGGTTCATTAGCCAGAGCAGACCATCAAAATAACTGGTCCAGAACATCCTGTTAGTATCAAAACCCATCAGGCAAATTGTCAAGCTCTTCATTCTTTCTTGACAAATATCTAGCTGTCTCTACCTTGGAAACGTAAAACTTATTTACTCTCTCAATTTTCTTTCAGTCCACAAATTCTTTCAAGTCACAATAGTTCTTTTGAGAGATATTTTTGTTTCCAGAATTTAGCTGGCAGCAGAATGGCTACACAAAGCAATATGTAAACAGATTAACTGTGGTACTTTAAAAATTGTCTTTGTTTTTCAAATTGTAGTCTCTAAAAAGGTGTGAGGGGCATATTTATTCAGTCTTTCTAATTCCCTTCGGCTCATTGTATTTATTTTCCATTGCTTTATCCACATTTTTTCAGTCAAAGTGGATTTTTTAAAAGCATGAATATTTTAGCATGTCTTCAAAGTTAATTTACAATTATTAATATGTAGTTAATAAGAAGACAGTCACAAAAGTAAGTCAGTCCTAATTTTTTCCTGCTCTCATTCCAGTCAATAAAACTAATAGTTGAGAAAGAAATATCATAGATACTTCTTTTAAAGAATAATATATACTTCTTAGTGTATATATTCTTTTACATTATTGGGTATTTTCCACAATTTCTACTTTATTATTTTTGCAGACTGCTTTATGAATTCTAACATTAATTTAGACAGCTTTTAAACATTTCTATAGAAAATTTATCAACATAACCATGATTTAAAGTTACAAATTCCCCAGATAATTCTGATTTAAAATGTAAGAAAATAACTGGGTGCTTCTATTAATCTGATTTTTTAAATTGATGTTTACTTATTAAAATTAAAATTCCATCATATTAATATGAACAACGTATTTTATTGAAAAACAACTTTTACTTAAAACATTTCTGTTCATTTTATTAAAATAATATTTTTTCACTCCATCAAATTAATAAGAAGGAAAATCCATTAGATCACTAATCATTCTAACCATTCCCTTACTGACAGAAATAAGCATAAATAAGCTTTGATAGTAGCCAATGCCACTGATCAAAAACACATTCCAAAAAAGGTTACCTGTATATCATGCAGATACATTAAATTAAAAACATTTATCTTCCTTACCCCTTCAATACTTTTCTTTAAAAAGTTTCCTGCCAAACTTTACTCCATTTAATACCTTGTCCATATTTTCTTCTGCCAAATCCTCTTTAAGTTTTTAATAAAAGAAATGTTCCATTTAACTAAATTAATTTTTTATTAGTATCTTTAGTCTAAATATTATCAGAATAAAATATAAAACAGATTAACAAAAAATACTTTCATGGACAATGATTACTTTGCCAATCAAAAGGCTAAATATTTCATTAGAATAATAGCATCAAAACTAGAATTTTATTAGTGTATGATCTTTCAATCAAAACCTTTGTTCATATAAATGATCTTTCCAGTATAATAAAAATAATTTGTATTTGTATGACTTTGTACCTACGAAAACTTTTAATTCACTCAAGTATATAGAGAAAATGGAGAAAAGTGCTTTAATATTTGGCACATTGTAGAGAGTAAAAAATTTATAGCCTAGGTCAGTATGTTAGGATCCCAGCACAAAATCTTTCATTTGTATGTAGTGTCTGAAAGTTTTCCTTCTCAAAAGGAAAACTTTTGAGAAGGAAAACGTCCTTCGCAAAGGAAGTAAATAAATTTATTTTAAGTAAATTTAAGTAAGTACAAAAATTCCTTTTTTACCTTATCTTATCTCAAAGAAGACAAAAGTAAAAATTCAGATAGAAAGTCATATTTTTAAGGAATGCTTCATTTATACTGAAGTCATAAAATGTTGTAAAGTTTTTATTACAAATATTTATGACCATTTTCATATTACATTTCAATTAAAACAATAACTTTCCACACTCTGCCCTTTCAGAAGTGGAATACAGGATTAAAATTTACCAAATACTCTAAAAGAAAAGCAATGCAGCAAAGATGCAAAAATGATGCCCATGTTTAACGGCATTTTAAATTTTTAATTTCATTGCCATTTGAACTGAACCAAAGAAACAAGCAAAATAAAAAGTGGAGTGCTGATGGACCTTACCTTCTTGAACTGCTTGAAAAGGGTTGTTGCCATCAACAAATGTCACCGAAAATGTGATTTTCTCAGTCTGTAAAATCTCCTCATTCTGGTTGAGGTCGCCAACTGCTGTGCGAAACACCTCATCATCCTTTTTGGCAGATTCATCAAAAATTGCTCCTAGAAAGAAGTGAGTATCACCATTAAACAATAACATAAATATTCTGTCATGCCCTCCGGAATTACACCAAAGAGACTTATGAACTGAAAAATGTACACTTTCAATTAAAGCACACACTTCATTACTGAAACACATTGTACTGGAAGCAGTGTGAGAGCTAAGCAGGAATGTAGTTAGTTCTCCCAAATGGAAATGATGAATAGTACATCAAAGTGTTTTGCTGGAAGAGTATCGGGAAGACATTATAATAAATACAAAAAGCCTCTGCAGGACAAAGTGGTTAAATACACTGAATGTCTCACGCCATGAGATCTTTAAGAATTCATAACTTGTAGAATTTTTTTTTTCTGAATAATAGGAGAAAAATCAGGAAATTTTCTGAGAGTCCATTCATAAATAGGAATTAAATTTCTACAATGATCTTAATTTACTTTTTCTCTTTTTATTTCCTTCCTTCTTTCCTTTCTTTTTTCTTTGAACAAGAGTTTCAGTATCTTTTACAATAGTAAATTCCATAATATTTATTAAAAATTTAGAGACATACAAATCTCTGAGCAGAAGTAATGGAGACATATTTCCTGAATAACTAACATAAGTTCTAGTGAATAATTATGGCATTTTTCCTTCATATGTAATAATGATAATGATGATGATAAGAGTTGTGGCTAACTTTTATTTGACTGTGTGTTTGTCAGTGTATTGATTAAACATCCCAGTTCTAAAAGTAAACTGATTTCAAATCCTGACTCTGACATTTGTTAAGTATATGACCTTGAGCAAGGGATTCAAATTCTAAACTCCACATTCATCATCTGTAATATCTAATAGTAAAAATAATATCCATCTGTAAGGATTATTAACTGTATTAAATGATACTATGCCTGTGAAATGTAAGTAAATTGTGGTAACTAAATATGTCTCAATACATGCTAGTGTTTTCTTTTTTTGAATACTGTAATATAATTCAAACAAAGCTTAACATGTTCTACTATTTTCTTCATATTACAGTATTTAATTTAATCCTTAAAATAACTATGTGATATGTACACTACTACACACACATACAGTTTTAAAAATTAGGATTCCATGCAAGAAATATGCCTAAGGTTCCATAATAAGGGCCAGAGCTTTTGCCTCCTTACCCCAACGTCCTTGCTTTACATCACTATAGGATACTGCCTTCCAGGATTGCACCCAAAAGACATAAAAGTGTTCTAACAGGGATTCTGACTTTACAGCATATTTGGAGTTTCTTTCCTATCTGGCCATGCATACTTTATTTGCATTCATTCTGACTCTTCCAGTTCTAAGCAAGCACACATTTTTAATTATTTACTTTTTAATCATAAATAATTGGGACAATGTACTCTTTGTGTTTTTGAATAAACCTAATGAAAACCCTGTTGACAAAAAGAGACATATACCTCAGGGTCAATAACATGATAAAGGAATAACTGTATATGTACATATCCACATACACATCCATATACACATAACACATATTTCTTGACTATATTCATTACGGTGTGTGAATAAATAAAAGTATGTGTATATAAAAATGACTTTTTTCCACATATAAATATAATACGGGTATTATACACACATATGAAAAGATAAACACACTATACGTGCAGACACAAGTATGCATATATATGTTTACACATACACATAAATACACATATATGTATAAACAGCAGACACACTTTACATCTATCAATTTTGTTGATTTAATAATTCTTTAGCTGAAGCCCCAAGTCATCTAGCGAAAAGATAATTATGATATTAAACATGCATTATTAGAGTCAGTTCATGATAAAGCAAGGATGAATCTATGTCCATTTCTGACAACTGTGGCAAGTTCCTTTTGACCTCTCCACCCTATGTGGCTTCACCATGGGAAAGCAAGAAATGATTACTTTTTGCTAGAGAAGGCAGAGTGTCTAATAGGCTTACTGTGTCAGCTTGGCTTTCTCTTACCACTGCTCTTCTATGTTTGCATGGATTCACTGACTACTTTGACCAGCCTTTTTAAATCCTTCCTTTATGTTTCCTATGTATGTGAATACCTGCCATGGCTAAGAACATGAGAAAAGGGTGAAGAAATTTTTTAAATTGATAAATAAATTATTTCTTAATTACACTATTATATAGCTAATACCCAGACTATTAATACTTTATTGATGTAATCAACATATGTAATAGACATTAATTTCTGCCCTATCCTGTCACCTCTGAATTAGAAGTATACTTTATAAACTAATATTTAGGCAATAAATTTTAGATTTATCTTGATAATTTTAATTCACATTCATGAAGACTCATTTTAATTTGTGATAATATTTATGAGAACCTAAGTTAATCCTTACACTGAAATCTAATATTATCAGACTGGGATATAAAAATTTCTTTAGCAGCTTTTTAGGAAGTGTGATATAAATGTGCTATAACTGGAGCGAAAATAATCAATTTGTTTTAAACCAGATAATCTAAATGTCTATTCTCAAAGAAGTGATGTATATTTATATAGAGATGTTTCAGCTTGTCATGGATTCTAAATGGGTCTTTTGGAAAAGTTTCTAATCAAACTTTTTTTATAGCAGGTGATGCTATTGACTTCTGCTGAGTACTGCTAATGCATTTTTAATGGAAGCATTTTACTATTACCTGACAGAACACTTAAAATTGCTTTAAACATTAAACCTGGCTTAATAAATGGCAGAAACCTGCCAAAATGATAAGAAATTAGTCAATTCTGTGTTGAATTAAGACGTACTGAAAGCAAATGCACAAAAAAAGCAGTTCATCTTTCTGCAAACAGCAAAGAAGTACACAAAAGAAGTGATTCATCTTATTGCACACAAGGAGCATAACCAAAGAACAGGAAATCCTAGCCAACATTTCAAATACACTTATTTATTTATTTACTTTTTCCTTCAGCTATAAACTCTCATCTTAAATTTGGCTTTTTACCACAAAAGTACTGTTAAATGAAGCATTTTGTATCAAACACAAGTATTCTGAAAACAACCTCGTAAGTTCCACATGAAGAATCTCAGGAAAGACAGTTCTTTCTTATGGCATGCACTTCCAATAGTATTGCAATGTCATCTCTTTATCCTTTGTATTAACACACACACATATTAGCAGTCTAATTTAACTTCAAATATCCTAGATTCACTTTTTGAAACTAAAGTTTCTCAAATGCAACATACATAGCTATATAGCTTACATGATGACACAACATCTATTTCTTTCCCAGCTGTTTTTATTAGCATATTTTAACTGTTTTATTTTATAACCTGGAGGTGAAAACCAGATCCAACTTACTGTCAAGATGAAATAATTCTTCCGCCACTTACACACTCACACACACACACACACACACACACAGTGTTTGATCAACAAATTATACTCTATTTACACTTTGCATTGGCCAAACTGGAGGGAAGAATAACCAAGCAACAGGCAGAGAACAAACACCTCCTAAATATTCCCGTTAGACCAATTTTTAATAGTCATTTCCACTATTTGGGACTGATGATCTGCTCCATCCATGGGAGGGAAAAAAGGCTTCACTTATCCTGACACAAAGAGAGTGACATATTCAGGTGAGTCTACATACAAGTTTTTTTTTTTAACATCTTTATTGGAGTATAATTGCTTTACAATGGTGTCTTAGTTTCTGCTTTATAACAAAATGAATCAGTTATACATATACATGTATCCCCGTATCTTTTCCCTCTTGCATCTCCCTCCCTCCCACCCTCCCTATCCCACCCCTCTAGGTGGTCACAAAGCACTGAGCTGATCTCCCGGTGCTATGCAGCTTTTTCCCACTAGCTATCTATTTTACATTTGGTAGTGTATATATGTCCATGCCACTCTCTCACTTAGTCCCCGCTTACCCTTCCCCCTCCCCGTATCCTCAAGTCCATTCTCTAGTAGGTCTGTGTCTTTATTCCCATCTTGCCCCTAGGTTCTTAATGACCTTTTTTTTTTTGGATTCCATATATATGTGTTAGCATACGGTATTTGTTTTTCTCTTTCTGACTTACTTCACACTATATAACAGATTCTAGGTCCATCCACCTCACTACAAATAACTCAATTTCGTTTCTTTTTATGGCTGAGTAATATTCCCTTGTATATATGTGCCACATCTTCTTTATCCATTCATCTGTTGATGGACACTTAGGTTGCTTTCATGTCCTGGCTCTTGTAAATAGAGCTACAATGAACATTGTGGTACATGACTCTTTTTGAATTATGGTTTTCTCAGAGTATATGCCCAGTAGTGGGATTGCTGGGTCGTATGGTAGTTCTATTTTTACTTTTTTAAGGAACCTCCATACTGTTCTCCATAGTGGCTGTATCAATTTATATTCCTACCAACAGTGTATGAGGGCTCCCTTTTCTCCACACCCTCTCCAGCATTTATTGTTTGTAGATTTTTTGATGATGGCCATTCTGACCGGTGTGAGATGTGAGCTCATTGTAGTTTTGATTTGCATTTCTCTAATGATTAATGATGTTGAGCATTCTTTCACATGTTTGTTGAAAAATATGGAACACTTCACGAATTTGCATGTCATCCTTGCGCAGGGGCCATGCTAATCATCTCTGTATCGTTCCAATTTTAGTATGTGTGCTGCTGAAGCGAGCACTACATACAAGTTTTTAAATACAAAATATATCATCCTTGTCTACTTATGTCTTAGAAAGGAATTAATTATAGTTTATAGTGGTATTAAAAAATGTTGAAGTCTTAACTTTTTAACTATTGTAAAGGGTCATACGTACAGGTTAATAAAATCATTTTCTAAAAATTTGCATTTGCAAATATGCCTGTTGAAAACAAACATTTGTAGGAAGTTACTAACCTGGGACTTCCCTGGTGGTGCAGTGATTAAGAATCCACCTGCCAATGCAGGGGACATGGGTTCGATCCCTGGTCCAGGAAGATACCACGTGCTGCAGAACAACTAAGCCCGTGCGCCAC